ACAAGCTTAAAAATAAACCAGAATGATTTATCAAAATTATTGGAAGTTATGCACACGCATACGGTCTCAAAATACAGACGATTCTGTCAAATTCCGTTCAAAAATGTGATTTTCGGACACAAGTCAGCAGCTCTTAGATTGGACCGAAACTTATTCGAATCGAGGAACCATTCGCATGGAGAGCCTCAGATGGCTCGAGAAAGTCGGTTTTCATTAAAGAAAGTTGAAAAAACTCAAAGCGGATCAAAAGTTTGAGCAAAAACACCAATTATGTCAAACTTTGCCAATTTACTAAATATTGAGATATTTTATATCAAACTCAATCAAACTTGTTTCAAATGTGTTTTGAAATGATATTTGAGTCCACTAGAATTTATCTCAACTCATTAAAATGGAAAGTAACAAACAATCAATCAACAATTAGCAAAAAGATTAGTTTATGTCAAGAATTGATAACTTGAAATTATGCATAAAATGCATTTCAAATGCACAAAAATATCAATGATTCTCAACCAAAAACAATTGGAAACATGTAGTAAAGCTTGAAAATTGAAGATTAGGCTTAAACTAAACTAATTATTAGTTTATGGTACAACACCTAAATCAAAGTTAGTGTTAGAATCTATCTAACCTAAACTATTAACAAATTCTACATCAAGAATGAGGAATTAGTGTTAATCTAATCAAGAGTTCAAAATCTCAAACTAGTGTTAGTGCTAACTAGTTTTCTACCGCTAATTCAACCTAAACACTAGTGTAACTACACCTAGGGCTAAAAATCAACACAACAACACTATGTCAATTTCAAGTTACTACCAAAATCAACTTCTCAAGTTCAATAAATCACTTATTTTAATAAGCAATTCAATGAAATGGCATTAAATCCTCAATTCAAATCAATTTTCAACAATTAAGCCTCAGTTATACAATTAAAACCTCAATCAATAACAAAACCAAGAAAAAGCACTTATTCAAAAAAATCACTTATTTTAAAAAGCACTTAATTCAATAAAACTCATCGATAGAAGGGAATAGGAGGCTTAGGTATAGAGATCGCAACGACCGAATCAACAATCAAAGAAGAATTGCTCTTAATCTTGACTTTTGGATCTTTATGAAGTTGGTGTTGTGGTCTTAATGAAAAAAGTGTAGAACCTTGATTTGATCTTTGAGAAAATTGAGAGAAATTTTTTGATTGTTTGTGGAGATTGGTGAGTTATGAGAGAAATTTGAGTAAAAAGAATATATAGTATGAGCTTATGTGAGTGGATTTGGTTAATGGATCTCAAATATCCATAAATAGTAATGGCGAATTTTAATTAACTTGAGTGCGACACGTTCCGGGAAAATTTGCAGGAATCTCGGTGCGAGTTTTGAAATTGAAATGTGAAACCAAAATATAGCCGATATTGTGAACGAACTCATGTCCGAAAATAGGCTCAATCGGATAAAAGGTGATTTAGTTATGAATTTTTTAAATTTCGCTTCAGACAACTTTAATTCACAACTTCAGAATTTTCAGTGAGTTGCACATGTTTCGGGCAATAAACGGAAGCCTTCAGGATACTGTTGGCTCTTGAAAATAGAAACCAAAATTTAAATAACTCAATTTTTGAGACAATTCTACTGGAGCGGGCTCGATACGATAAAAATCGATCGAGTTATGATTTTTTGGATGTGGTGTAGATAAACATTTGCCACAATTTTTCTGTGCGAAAATACTTGATAAATCCATATTTCTGGTGCCTTCCTGAGCAGAACTAGCTTCCGGCTGTGAGAGATCAAAATATAGATGACATCGAGATGGAATTTTAGCCACTGGAACGGGTTCAAAAAGAGCCACAGGCTTCGAGTTATGAATTTTTTAGTGCGTGCAAAACACGATTCAGCCAACTATTTATCAGTAATTTCCACTATTCAGCTTTGTCTGACTTGCGAATTCGGAGACCTTCCTTCGAGAATTAGCTTTAGGGCCAAACACGGAAGTTGGAGAGGATATCTATGTGGATTTAATTATGGAAAAATCACCTCGAGATGATATACGAGATCGGAGTTAGAAACTTCTGAATGTCTGAAACACCGTTGATCGGTAACCTGAAAACTCAGTAATAAAATTATTCGACCGCCTTATGCATATAATTAGATCCCGGACCGAACATGAAAAATGAAGATAATATCAACACGGACTTGGTGATCAAATTTCAGCCCAAAATAGTACTCTGACTCGCAGTTAGAAAATTATGAAGTTGACGCACCGAAACAGATTTTTAACCTGAACTGTTCTGAATCAGATCAAACCCTCTGGTTCCCTTATATTGCCCAAGACATGAGAAAATACACGGGAATAGAACATGGTGATAAACCGTTTCTCAGCTGATTGAATTTTCTTGCACAAAGCCTTTGACGCTTCTGATAAATAGTCGATGCTTTACTGGCATACCTTGATCCTATAGCAACAGAACCTATGTATGTATGCATATACAGATGAAATATGAGCCAAATAAAAATTCTGAAATCAAGAGGGTAAATTTTAGGGTGCAACACCAGCTTGCTGGAAAAATTGTCTTCTCACTTGTCCATAAGACTGATGCTTACGAAGATATGCCCCACCATGAAGATACTCCCCTACAAAGGAACGGTTGCACTGCGTCTCCTTCCTCGGTCGAGGAGGACGATGACGACATTCATTTCTTGGAAAATCACAAGTACAAGAAAGTCTCAGAAGAACCATCGGCAGTCCTCCAGCCAGTTTCAATACAGGTGAATGTTAATCCTGCCATAGCTGCCATGCTCACATCACTTAACCAAACCAATTCTCTGATCCAACAACAAAACAACAGGATCGGGGCACTGGAAAAAGGGAACCACTCTAGGTCCTCACCCAGAAGGTACCGAAGACGTGGGTCTCGCAGCCTATCGCCTTTACGACCTAGCCATCATCGAGCACCAGAAAAACTAGGGATATCACTGATCAAGAAGCACGACCGAACGCCTCCGCATAAAGAACAAAGGTCCCCGGTTACTATGAGGACTAGGAATAATATACGACCAGAGCATTATCACTCGCTCTACCCTAAGCCAAAGGATCGGCCGAGGATCCCATCTCCCCGTAGGGTGGATAATACCCGACGAGGAAGGAACAATCACTCTTCATCCCCTTCACTAGACTGGAGCGACGAGGATGACCCCCACAGTCTGTTGTCTAGAGAAATCAGGGAGACACCCTTGTCCATTAGTTTTGAGAAACCTCAAATCTGGGGACATATGATGGAACTGCTTATCCATACGAGCACATCGAGAACATTGATGCCCTGCTTGATTATAGGTGCGTCAGAGGAGCCATCAAGTGTCGACTTTTTCCTACCACTCTCTGAAAGGAGATATGGCTTGGTATAAAAGCCTCCCAGACAAGTAGATCACATCTTGGAAGAACCTGTGGAGGCAATTCTCCAGGCACTTCACTAATTTTCACCGACATCTAAAGTTTAAGGCCTCGCTAGAAGCAATCATTCAGAGAAAAGATGAGTCTATCTGGGCATATATTGAAAGGTTTAACCGTGAAGCTGTTCAGGTCTCCACGACTGACGGCATGAAGAAATATTTGTTGGAGCGTGGGTTGTGTTCTTATAGTGATTTTTCCAAAGTAGTTGGCATAGAAACACTTACTACACCGAATGCCCTCATTCTCAAGGCCCGTGAATACATCCAGTATAAAGAAAAGGAAGCTCCTAACAACACACGGTGAATCACTTCAAAAAAGTAACTAAAAAATGAAATTGTCACTGAACTTTATTTATCCCAAAGAGGGAAAGGAAAATATCAAGAAAATCTCTATGGTGGGAAAGAACATGGTCTCCCCGACCAAGAGAAATGGTACGAAAGTCAATTACACAAGGGAAATGTATTAGCACTCCTCGTATCTGTTGTACTCAACAGGATCCACTTTTGTTGTTCTTATCTAAGGGTGTGTTATCTAATGCTAAACTTGCTAAGGGAAAAATGCATGAATGAATTTCTTACGGGTAAAAAGAAAAGTTTTTATTATTGTGTTCGCCTCAGTTATGAAACCTCGTGCCTACGTATCCCCAGAAGGAATTCGATCACCATAGTTCTTCTTTAAAATGTTTGTTTGTTGTGTGTTTTTTTAATGAACGGTGCTAAATTATCATTCTAAAAGTTAGAGCTTGTCTGTTTACGGTAGAATAAATTTATCATGTTCTTTTTAAAAAGGTTTTAAAGAGAAAATGCCCAAAGGAAAAAAGGTTTGTATTTGTGAAGTGTTTTTGTTAGGAGAAACATCTTAAGTGGTTCCCTTAAGAAAAGAATACTTAAGTCTTTCCTCCTTTAATTTTGAAAGTGTTTGAATAAGATTAAGTGTTTTTGAGTTTCTTAATTAAGGAAAGAGTTTTTGTATTAATTATGCAAAATAAGGAAAAGTATAAAGGGAGACTAAAACATAATTGTTGTCGTACATTGATGGTCCTAAGGTTGGGATTTATGACGGGATTTCTAACCTAAAAATATTATCATGCATAGTTCGATCCTAAAGTCTAATTCAATCCTTAAACAAACAAAATTAATTTCACTTGTTTAATAAAATTTCCTAAGGGAGCATGTGAGAATCAACTACACAATCAAACATCCATAGAGAAGGTAAAACTAATATTTTCGTGGTTTTTTAAATTAGAGGAATATTAAATTCAAAAGGAAATTAAAACCTAATCCCAAATTTTTGTTATATTTTCATATTAGAAATAAAAAAAGATGTAAATAAAATAAACAAATCAAAACAGTTAAATCAAATAAAAGGAAATTGTAAAAAGAAAAGTCTAGGAGGATGAAGACTGAAATCAGGGTATGGTTGTAATATTTTTGTTGGGCTTAGAATTAAAGGAAGCAACAGGCCCATGATTATAAAAAAAAATCATATTGGATAGAAAAGAAAAAATTATGCTAAAAAATGGACCCGGTCGGGTCGGACCGTGTGCATCCCTCAAACAAAAGCACATGGTTCAAAAGTGAAACCTAACAACGCTCAAACCTTTCTCTCTTTTAATTTTCATCTTTTCCATTCACGCTTAACCTCTTTCATCTCTCAAAATTCTCTCTCACGCTCATATTCTCCTAGAACTATCTCTCTAGTTTTCTCGATTTACACTCAACCTCTCTTAAAAAATGTTTCACTGTTACGATTCATCATATCATCTCTCAAGCTTTCATCATATTCTCATGCGATTTTCTCGATTCCTCACTTAACTCTCCGTGTTCATGATTTTGGTTCCACGATTAACACTCTTATTCTATGTTTCTCATCATCCTAATCTCTCGGTTTCAAGAAAACAACATCGTAACGCTGCGCGTTTTCAATCAATTCATCTCTCTGTTCTCATGAGTAAACAACAACAACTCTGCTCTAAATTTCTCGTGATATTCTCACAATTTAAACCTCAGTGAAACCCTAAATCCTAAGAGATTGAGTCAAATAATGATACACTCTTCAATGCTTTGTAATGTAGTTTTTGTTTTGCTTTTTTTGTGATATTCTTAGACTGTTTAGTGCAGGGTTTTGGCATGTTGTGACAACAACTTAGTTTTGGAATAGAAACTTGTGGGGGGGATGTAGGGCAGTAAGTTTTTTGACATTTTTTTTGGAAGTATTGAAGGCTTATAGAAGGGATTGTTTTGGACTGGTGTATGGACATGAAAATCATTGAAGATGAAGGGCTTGGAATTTTGTAGGCATAGGTTATGTTAGATTAGATTTAGAATGTTTATACACTTGTGATGTAATCTTGAAACTTGGTTTATAGATATTGAATTGCGATTCCATTTGTTATCTTGTATCTTGAATGAAAAGAAACTTTGTGGTTTTTTCATCTTTATAGATTTTTGCTCCTTGAATTAAAACTTGAATGAAGTTGCTTGGATCATACTTTATAAAAATTCGCGCATTTAACACTTGAATAAGATTGAATCTTAAATGATATTTGAATCTTGAATTTTGATTGAAATCATTTGGTGATGAAATGCTTGATACAAGCCACTTTTGAAAAAAACCTTGAATCAAGATGGACTTTGAATAATTTGGATGATGATGGATAAATAAAACTTGGATGAATCTAAAAACAATCACTTGAATGAATCTAAATTAAAAACCTATTTTCAAATTCAAATCCAAATCCTCTTGCATTGGAAACAACAAGTACTTGAGGGAGAAAGAATGCCTTGATTACAATGAACCCACAACTCCAACTTTTTCATCATGATTCAATTCAATCCACATGTCCTTTGTCTTATTCTTTACTCGATGATTTTAAGCAATGACTTGAAAAATCCTCGAGAAATGATACTTGAAACAAAGACAACCCAAGATAAAAACCCTAATCCTCAGTTGAAATATGATGAAAGTTAAACACCACAAGTTAAAACCTTGATGCATTTAATCTTTATGAAATCTTTGATGGAAAATAGCCATGTGACTCGATAAATAAGGAAACCCATGATAACCATGCCTCAAAACTCTAATTCCACATAGTCCACTACTCAAGAACCAGATGAATATCCCTTTATCTAATGAATAAATCTCACACCAATGTGAAACCCTAATTTTCTCGAATGTTGATGCTTAAACCCAAGTGCATTATTGAATGAATGAATGCTATACAAATGAATCTAGTGGAACGTATGAATGAAATGCAAAGCGTAAGCCAAAGAAAAATAATTAGGAGGGAAATTTTTGGGGTGCAACACACGAGACTCACGACATCAGAAGAATGTCAAGCCCTCAAAGCACGATGACTCATTGATATCTCATCGGGGAGCACACAAAAAAAGAGACGACAATCCCTGTGAATCATGGGAATACAAAGGTCTAGATGGACAGTTCCATAATTATACTCCCATAAACACCTCACGTGAGCATATTCTGACCGACTGCACAAATTCAAAATTTCATGAGGCCAAAGTCTGCTTTCCTTGACAGACTCCATCCAAGCCTGAGACGAACAAAAATAAATATTACGGGTTCCACAAGAGCCAAGATAACACCACTGAAGACTCCATTCACCTGAAGGATTCCATTGAGATCCTTATCAGAGATGGGAATCTCAAGCAGTACAAGAAGAAAAAGGGTCCCCACGAGGGCGCCCCTGAATCAAAGAAAGTCGAGGAACAGAAACCTTCTTCCGACAATGTCAGCATGCCAGACTCCATGTGCATTTCTATACCCTAATATTTCTATATCCCCAACATCTTCGAGCACCCCCTATACTTCTCAACCCACAGCCCCTGGGAAACTTTCCCCTTCTCCATGGTCATATATGTTGGGGGATTCAACAAATTCATTATGGGCTCAGTAAAAAGAAAGTTCGAGCAGCTGATCAACGTAAGCTTCAACAAGAACTCCACCCTGGACAAGTTTCTAGAAAGCTCCGTCCCCATCGCGTTCTACTGCGAAGAGTTCCCCGGTGGATCTCTTAACTCGACCATCCCTTTGCTCGTGAGAGCATAAATGGAAAATTTTGATGTCTGAAGAATCCTAGTCGACCAAGGCAGCTTTTTCGATATTATATACTCCTAGTTGTTTGCAACCTTTCAGCTCGATGAGACACACCTGACTCCCTATGTATGCTCTGACTTACAAGGTTTCAACAGCACAGTCACCAAACCCCGGGGCTACATCGAATTGATAGTCACCTTAGAGGGAAGAGAAGAGAACCAAAGCCATTAAAGTCCAATTCCTGGTGATTGATTTCCCGTCCCTGTATCAGTGTATTATGCGGAGGCTAACCCTGGCCGAACTTATAGCGGTGCCATCCACCGTGCATATGAAGATGAATTACTGCACTTTGAAAGGTCTCGTCGTGAGCCTCAATAGGGATATAGAAGTTGCGGGGAGATTCTTAGAGGAAGCCTTCAAAGGTATAAACTCCACCAGAGCAATGCCTAAAACAATCGGTGATTTTGCCTAACCCAACAGCTTAGAGGAGCCAAAGCCACTGCCACACGTTGACACAATCGACTTGGACAACAGTTTCATGAAAGAAGATCTCCAAGATCAGAAAAAGAAGAAGGGGAAAGAAACCTGGTTGATTGTAGAAAGCTCCTCGGCATCAATGAATAATGAGGAACTTTGACATACCCTGCAACCAATTCTAAATGGGGAATTCGAGATCATCCCCCTCGGCAGTGACCCCAATAAAGGAGTAAAGATCAGGACCAACCTCCCCGACCTGGTGAGGAAGCACCTAAAGGCCTGCTTGAGGAAGAATGTAGATTTGTTCGCATAGAGCATCACAGAGATGCCCAGTCTGGATCAAGAGATAGCATGTGACCAGCTGACAATAGATCCTTCCCTTAAGGAAGTTACCCAGCGTAGGTGAAAGTTGTAACACCCCACTTTCCCACAATAGCAATTACATTAACATATATCATAGTACATAAGCAGAATGTCACATACTTCAAATATTCATAAAGTTTAAAGTCACTTTATTACTTCTTTTATTCGAACATAATCAATTCGGCAGCGGAACAATAAAATTAGTTTAATTCCATGTCATTACAACTTCAACAACAAATAAAACTCCACAAATGTGTGGTCCAACATAAGTCAAATGAAAGATACATAACAAATGAAATAAAGAAAAACATAACAAAGATTCCCAATTCCCGTGTTACGTATCAGAGTGACTCCTAGGACTCGATCAAGTAACACTCACTCTAAGCACTACTCGGGTACCTGATTATATATACTCCCAGGGGAGCACAGACACAACAACACAAAAAGGGTGAGAATTTCATTCAATAAATATACGGTGAATATCACATGCTAAGGAGTAGTAATCACACAATCCATACATCACACAATACTTTGCAACATAACACATCATTCATGTAATGCAACATCAACTGGAATCAATGCAATGCAATGAGACAGACATCAACTTGATGCATATGGTAACATCAGGGCATAAGCCCTCATCTCGTATGCCAATTTGGGAAATAACAGGGCATAAGCCCTCATCACAACGCCATTACAGGCCAACAACAGGGCATAATCCCTCATCACTATGCAACATGCGACATCATATGCAACAACATAACTATATAACCACAAGGCATAAGCCTTCAACATAGTGCTAATTTAGGCCATCAACATCATTATCATCATAGTCATCAACATCACCTTATAACAACATCGTAAACAAAGCAACATCACAATAAACAACTCACCATTTCGATGTAACAAGGGGAAACATTCCTATCCTAACTTAGGTACAAGGAATATAATCCTTATCATTCGTTTTCCTCCTTCAAATTAAGGTTCATAGCATTATCTAACTACTGCTTCGAATGGAACATCAATCGGGTTCCTAAAACTAAAGTTACGGTTGATTTAAGGAAGTCCAAAATAACCATCAGTTATTGTCATCCCTCGCCCGGCGAAGCCCTACATCGCCCGACGATGCTACCTTCACATCACTCTTTGCTCGGTGATGCTAGGAGCGATCCACTCCAGTAGCTCGTCCAAAAAATATGCCTCCTCTTCGCCTCCACCTTCACCCGGCGAAGCACTGTCGCCTGACGACACTCCCTTTATTGCCCGACGATTCTCTGCGAGTAGGGTTTCCCTATTAGCAATTTTGCATTGTATCAGACTGATTTCCTATAATTTTGTCATATTATAGGTCCTAATATGTTGTCTAAACACATGGTTTCATCACCAATCAATTCATCACAATGCACCACTATCCATACATCAGTTATGGGTCATATTCCATCATCAAATCCTTTAATCCTAATTTCCATTACTAATAGGTTTTAGATTGGAGTTTTGTGGTACCATCATCATAACAACAAAAATCACCAACAACAATCACAATCATAACATCATAATTTCATATAGTATCACATAAATCAACATCAATCAAATCAAACAATAGCAGATCATACATCAATCATTCAAAAACAACCTAAGATGGAAAGGAACCCTCACTACCCTCTCATGTAAAATCATCAATTGTAAAATTCATTCACCCCCCTTACCTTAATTTGCAGCTTTGATGCTTCAAAAATGGAGAATTTCATTTGCCCTACTTCTCTCTTCTCTTTTTCTACGTGACAATAGTTTTTCTCCCAAATGGTCTAACCCTCTTTTATTGTATTTTATTATTACTAACACTCCACTAATAATAATAATAATAATAATAATAATAATAATAATAATATTAATAATAATATTAATAACAATATCAAAAATCTTAATAATAACTATAATATTAATAATAAGAGTATTATCTCTCAAAACCAAGTTTCACCACAAAATGCCAAAGCAAATTCAAAATCAACAAACAATGACAAAGTATTTAAATGGGGCGTTACAACTCTCCCTCACTTAGAATATTTTTCATCCTCGAAAATTATCTTCTGTGAACAATTCTGGATAACACTCCCGCATCTTTGTCTCTAACTCCCACGTCATACTTTCTCCAACTGCTCCTCCCCAAACTACTTACACTAGAGGGATTTCCTTGCCTCTCAGCTTCTTTATTTCACGGTCTACAATCATCACTGGTAAAGTCTCTACCATAAGATTATCCCTTACTTGTATGTCATCCATCAGAATTACATGAGATGGGTCCGCAATTTACTTCCGAAGTTACGACACATGGAACACGTCATCCAAATTAGAAATATTAGGTGGTAAGGCCAC